AATGTACCAAGTGTAACATGTTTTAGCTGTATGGTATTTGGCATTTGTGGGACATATATTTGTTCAGGACCCACTGTAAGAGTTAAACCAGCAATTCTGTACTATTTAGACTGGCAATAGAAGAAATATTTTATTTTGGATATATATGGCTTATAAAATATTTACTACAGCTTTTCAAAAATTCAGTGTGCGTTTGGCTAAGGGACCTCCCACACCTTTGACTCCGAGGTAATACTTTGGAAAGGCCAGGATCCACACACAGAATGACTCTCCATCTTACTATTTATACTCCTGTATTACTCCAGTATATTTTATATTGCTCCAGACCACAGAAAGCCACATTTTGGACCAAAACTCCAGTGAGCCATACACTGTATGAATACAAATGAAGAGGACATGGCTGAGCTTTCTAAAGACACGGAGAAGGAGAAATTTGTACAACAAGGCCTTGAAATAAAAGCAAATTAAAATCTGTTTTGAAGGACTGATCATGAGCTATTACCTCACACATCAAAATCTGCTCTGTCCACCCACCTCCAAACAGATCCACACCCACCCAAGCACCCATCAGAAAAGGAGTCTGTTTACCTGAAAGGTGTGGAAAGCACAGTATTTGGAGTCTGAACAACCTGTTTCTGTGGTGTTACCCCTGAAAAGTCACTTTCATGCAAAGGAGTATTCAGACCTCCTTTCAGGGGGGTATCCACATTGGTGAGAGCCATCAGATTCTGGGCTTCCTGTGCAACAGAAAACACATGCAGTGTTTGACTACAACATTCACAGTCACACTCTGCTATACATGTTTAACAGGTTCAGTAGCAGTAAAAAAAGCTGAAGAGTCATTTGAACATCAGTTTGTGGAAAATGTTTTAAAGTTCAAAACTTTAACACCCATACACTGATATTTACAAACACTGAAAGGGATTTGAATCTTCATTTCCAGTAAAATATATTATAAACTGGAGCTGCAAAAATGAGGGGGTTACTTATTGTTTCAACTTCTTCCACTTTGCCAGACTCTATAGATCTAAAAGATTTATTAGTGACTGAATACTCCAGTCATCCCAAGGAATCTGATTTTCAGAGGGAAGAGTACACTTACACTCTGAAATCCAAATTCAATGAAGTTACCCAAGCTGCATTTCAAAGAGAATGGTCCAAAAGAGATGGTCACTATTCAGATTTTTGGTCCATGACCCAATTTGGGTTCTAATGAATATCCTCCTAATATTTATTTTCTTTTTCCTTGTTACAATGAAGAATTAAGTCACTGTGAAAATGAGTTGAGGAAATTATACTACTGCAAATAGCAATTATCTTCCCAGAACACTAATCCATCTAGAGAGCTGTGCATATATGCACAATACTGTGATATAAATTTGGATCAGAATACTCCATTTGAAGGTGAATATGACCATTCCTGCAAATACTGCATAGAGACTTAGGTCATTATCTGTAAAGTCAGGAACCTTCCCTTTTCTCCTATCAAGAAACTGCTGAAATACAGCTCATTATGGGGTTTGGGGTGGTTTTTGTTTAGAGGTGGGATTTTTGGGGTGGAATTTTGTTTATTTTACACACCAGCCACACTGATTCCATTTAGCCATTTCCCTACACTCAACAAAACAATATCCAACACTACTGGTTTCTGAAAAAATCCAGGCACTCACACAATTAGTGTAACACAAACATAATTTGGAGGTTGCAAAGGAATGTTTTGGCAAACTTTACCTTAAGTGGTTTTAAGCCAATCAAGTGCTAGTAAAATATTGTTGCAGTTAATTACTTGTTAACTGAAATAAAAGCTGAACAACACAAAATACACTGTTTTAAGGATGTGAACTCATAAATATATATTCAACACTGAGAGACACCCAAGAGAAAGGGAAATTATAGAAGACACTAGGAGAATGGTTAAAAGCTTCAGGCAATACATGATTAAAGGAAAAAGTATGGTAGTGCTTTGAAACAGTGACAACTGATCAGGTAGCAGAGGATCTACTTCTGTGCCCTTCAGTGTGTCCTGGAGATCATGTGTCAGTTCAAATCCCAGTACTGCACACAGTCTAAGGAATGTTTCTCTGGTACTTACACCTTCAGTCAACCACTGCTCTAAAACTAAGAACTCCTTCTGTACATTGATGCTCTACCTGGAGGATCCTGTCCTGTGCTGCCGGAGTTTTGGGAGTCCTCAGTGCTATGCTGTTGTTGGTCACATTATATTCAGAGAGAAGAGTGCTGGAAGCTGAGTTTGTAATTCCAGATTCCTCAGCAGTCTGGCGAGCAATCTCACTGGCCTGGCCGACTTTTACAACCTCTTCAAGTTCGGTATCAGAGATCTTTAAAGAGAAAATCCCAAGGCACAGTGAGATAGGATACAACCCCACTTGGTAAAACAGAAATCATTGTTTGGCACAACTTGTAAGTTGTTTATGATCAATGAACACCTCACCTGAGGAGCTGGAAGCACGAGTTTACTTCTTTTTTTGGTAAATTCTGACACTCCACTCGTCTGCAGAATAGCTGAGGGCAAGTCTGACTCTTTTTTCCGTTTCATATGTTGCTTGTCCTTTTTGCGCTCTCTTCCCTCCCTTTCCCTGTCATGTGGACAACAGAATCATTTCAGAACACACAGAACAGCTACAAAGTAAACCAAACAAGCAAAGAGCACCCTAATCAAAAGTTGGATATGTGCTGCAGGAAGAGTGAAGCACCTTGAGGGGTAATTAGATGTGATCTGCAGATCTTGCAGCAGAACGTGCTTCAAAATTGTACAATCACCCAACAGGTTCAGCTCTTAGGCTGCTTCAACTACAATCCAACAGGGTCACTGGAGCAAGAAGAAAATGTCAGGCCAAGAACTGAGGCAGTAAAAATAAGGAGATGTGAACAGGCTCTTTTTCTCCAGCAACAGCTAAGGGAAGATGAACATTTTCTGTGGGATATGGGAACCAATTTCTCTTGAGGATTTAGCAAAAATGGTATTTTCTTCAAATAGCAGTGGAGGTAGACTATGAAATTATAAGCTTCAGTTTGAAGCTCCAGCCCGACCTTCTGAATTAAGAGCCATACAGAAAAATCAGTTCACAAGTTAATAAACCAAACTGTACAAGGCACTGGACTGACTCTCAGCAAAAAGCAGTTGGCAGAAGCAGTGGGAAATGCAACTGTAGAATTAAACCTGTACCATACTGCTCGTGATCCATTTAACTTCTCAGCTGCATGCTTGGGGATTTTTTGGGGGGGATGGGGAGAAATTAAGCATTTAAG